AAATGTTAATTCTCATCATGTGACCTAGTAGGAGGAAAGGCTAGGTATGGAGAGGAGGTCATGTATTGTGTTGTGATCAAGAACTTGGGACTTGGAATCAGAGGACAGTGAATTCCTAGCTCAGCTCAGGCACATATTAAGTGTGTGAGCTTATGTATGGCACTTAACCACTCCCTGCTTGAGTTTCTCCACATTGTAAGTTGAAGGCAATGGTAACAACCGTGCAAGACTGTTGTAAGGAATAAATGAGAAATCGATATAAAGATTTCAGAGGGCTCGACATATAGGGATTTATTAAAGTTTATGTTCGTTCATTTTGATTACACGGACTATGAAAGTGGAAAGAGTGGCGAAAGCTCTAGCTCAAGGGCTGTATGATCTCTGCAAATTAGGAGAATGCCATTTGATGGGCTACTGGAAAGGGGTGAAGCTTGGGAGAGAGGTGTTATGAGAAAGAACAGAAAGTGACTAGGAACACACAAAAAAGTTTGCTAAGTGTTGATGACATTGGTCTTGGTAATGATTTCATGGATATGTTAGGTGTCTTTATCACAGGTTTGGTTTTTTTTTTCCCCCCTAAGTAGAGTTAAAAACCCAGCTGAAGAAAGTGGCCATTATTTGTAATGTTACTACTCTGAGTAGTCAAAAGTTATTTCTCTAGAATTAGGGAATATGAGGAAAATGGTAGAAGAAGGAAAAGTGGATGAAAGTGTGGAGTGGATCATCGCATGGGGGAAAGCAAGAGAGTGAGAGATGGGGGAGTATTGAAGTGGCTGCTGAGATGGGGACATAGGCCTGTTTGTGGAAGGAAGTAAAACCAGGAAGGGCCTGGAGGGGTACACAAAAGGTCTGGTGATTCCAGTCACATCAAAAGCCAACATTACAGGGTGAAGTAATGAAAACTCAGAACATGGGATTTGTTAGCTGAAAAGCAGAATGAAGATTGCTGAAATGGAGAGGAGGTGAAGCCATGGGTTCATGAAGAATGCATGAATCAAGGTCAGGGTCATGGGAGGTGACTGAATGATGGGCAGAGTTCAGACTGAGAAAAATCCAAGCCAGGACCAAAGCCATGGGATTTAATGTATGATGCTGATGAGAAGAGTGTGGCAGAGCCGGATGGTGAGAACTCTGGAAAAGCTTAGATTGCTTTTTGCCATAGAGAGAAAGTCTACTGAAAATATATAGAGTCTGAGGCTGGTATGGGATTCTGAAAGGAAGAGTGAGTATCTTCCTTACCTCTGGAGTCCCAGTGCCCAACACATGGCTAACACTTGACGTATAGTAAGTGTGCAGTTAATGTCTATTGAATGGTTCTGTGAAATACTGGGTTCAATCCACATGAGTCCATTAAACTGTTTTTCACTTTTCCAAAACCAAATATAAATTGTAATTGTTGTAACATGGGGAATTTTTAGATGCCCAAACCTTACTTCCAAAGCACAAAAGCTAGTTGCATTTTGGTATTTTTCCTTCATTTATGAATTCAGCGAATATTCATTGAACAACAACTTTGTGCCAGGCACTGTTCCATACATTGGGAAAGATAGTGGAGGAAAAGGCAAACCAGGCCCCAGCTCAGGGAGCTTAATTTTAGTGGGAGAAAAACAGACAGCATATAAAAATATAAATGTTAATTTCAGTTAGGAAGAAGGCTGCATTGAAATTAAAACAAGTAGTGAGATAGAGAGTAAGCTGGAAGACAGCTCTCTTTTATATAAGACAGTCAGAAAAGACCTCTGACAAGGTGACATTTATCTGGGACCTGATGGATAAGAAGGAGTCAACCATGTGAAGATAGAGGTTTTCCGGGCAAACAGGTGGTGTAAAGGCCCAATGGGAAGATCGAGTTAAACAGAGAAGGACAGAAACAAGGCTAATATCTCTGCACTAGGGTCTAATAAGAAAGTCATATCTTTTCCCAAAATGTTACATGTTTAAACATGAACGTGATAGCAGTGAATGTTCAATTTTCAAGGACTGCACAGTGGTTAGGAGTAGACTCTGGAGTGACATTGCCCTCATTTAATCCGGGCTCCTCCTTTTCTACCTGTGTTACCTTGGGAAAGTATACCTAAATATTCTAGCATATTATTACCTGTAACATGGTGTTAATAATAGTACCTACCTAATACAGTTGTTAAAAGAATTAAGTGAATTGATAGTTGTAAAACGGAAAAGTGCTTGGCACATTAAAAGTGCTTCTTCTATAAAACAATTCCATCTTTTTTTTTTCCCTGTACTGCATTATATGGGAAAGATCATCTCTTTTGTTACATACTCTTAATGATTATTTCTGTTGATTCTGAGTATCCCATAATCTAATTAACTGTAGAGGAAGCAGGTTGTTTTAATTTTTCTGCATCATAAATCACTCGACAATGAACATCGTTATCATGCTTTGAGGTCTTCCACAATAGTGATCACCTGGGTGGCAGAGTACGAGTGAACCCGTAAAAATATTTCACTGGCTGAAGCATCTGTAAGAGGCATCCTCATCTTGATTGGCTTCTCATGAGATTACTACCAGATAACAGAGAAAAGATATGCTCTCCATGGCTGTCCTGACAGCTGAATTTATCCTGAAGGGAAGTTATGCTTGGCTTATACAATGTTTCCTGTCCCAAGAAAATTTTATTTAGTTGCCAAGAAGAAAAAAAAACAAAAAACAACTCACAATTTACTGTAAATCCCCCATATCTCTGGCCTTTCTGAAGAAATAGTCTATTTCTATTAAACTGATAGAACTGGACATACTGGCTATGAGGCAACAATTGTGAACAGATTTCTTATAGCATCTTTGCCATTCTTCCATAATTTCATGTTTTATTTTTTTTAAAGATTTATTTATTTATTTGAGAGAGGGGGCGGGAGTGGGGGGGAGGGGCAGAGGGAGAGAGAGAATCCCCAATAGACTCCCCACCGAGTGAGGTGCCCGATGTGGTGCTCGATCCCATGACCCCAAAATCATGACCTAAGCCAAAAATCAAGAGTCAGTTCACCTAACTGACTGAGCCACCAGGAGCCCCCATAATTTCATTTTAAAGTAAAGCTCATACTGTTAAAATATTGTCTAAAATATTATATGCCGGGGCACCTGGGTGGCTCAGTCGTTAAGCGTCTGCCTTCGGCTCAGGTCATGATCCCAGGGTCCTGGGATCGAGTCCCACATCGGGCTCCCTGTGCTGCGGGAAGCCTGCTTCTCCCTCTCCCCCTGCTTGTAATCCTGCTCTCACTGTGTCTCTCTCTGTCAAATAAATAAATAAAATCTTTAAAAAAAATAAAAAAAAAAAAAAAAATAAAATAAAATATTATATGCCTCTTGTACTAAAAGTTTAAACTATTCTATGGAAAAATTGTTTGAGAAAAATACTCAATTTATAGAGAAAACTAGAGTAGCTCAGAACATCTGAAAATAGTTGGAGTTTTTGAAATATGGCATTACTTCCTTTGAAAATAAAGAAATTTCCCAAACAAGTGAGCTTTTGCTTAATGTACTGAGTTCTGGAAATTTAAAGTTATATAAATGTGATACACTTGAATCAAATTAAAATATGAAGAATTGGGGTGCCCGGGTGGCTCAGTCAGTTAAGCATCTGCCTTTGGCTCAGGTCATGATCCCAGGATCCTGCGATTGAGCCCCGTGTAGGGCTCCCTGCTCATCAGGTAGCCTGCTTTCCCCTTTCCCTGCTTGTGCTCTCTCTCAAATAAATAAATAAAAATCTTTAAAAAAATAAAATAAAATATGAAGGAACAAATATAGATAATATCCCTGTTAATTATTATGAATTACTGAAGCTTTTAGGTAACATCCACATTGTTTCATGCAAAAGGAGGCCCATGCTATAATCTATTTGGTCTAAATTAAATTCATTAAATACAAATATACATATACTCACATGTATCGTCTTAAAAGTCTGAAAAATGAACTTCCAAAAGGTGCACAGTTGGCACCTAATAAACATTTATTAAATTTGGGGTTTTCTTCTGGTTTATGGAGATATAAATGACAACATTGTGTAAGTTTAAGGTGTACTGAGTGATGACGTGATATATGTAAATATCGTGAAGTGTTTACCACGTTAATATTAGTTTACACATCTACTACATCGCATAGTTACCTGTGTGTGTGTGTGTGTGTGTGTGTGGTGAGAATGTTTAAAATCTACTCCCCTAGCAACTTTCAATTATACAGTAGTGTTGACTATTACCATGCTGTGCAATGATTCAGAGAACTTATTCATCTTCTAACTAAAAGTCTGTACCTTCTTTTTTTTAAGATTTTATTTATTTATTTTGAGAGTGAGAGAAAGCACGAGTGGGAGGAAGGGCAGAGGCAGAGGGATAGAGAAAATCTCTAGCAGACTCCACGCTGAGTGCGGAGTCTGACGTGGGGCTCGATACCACAACCATGTGATCGCAACCTGAGCCAAAACCAAAAGTCGGGTGCTTAACCAACTGAGCCAGCCAGGCACCCCCTAAAAGTTTGTACCTTTAACCGACATCTCCCTATTTCCCCAGCCCCTGGTAACCACTCTCTGTTTCTAGGAGTTTGACTTTTTTAGATTCCACATGTAAGTGAGATCATGCAGTATTTGTCTTCTTCTGTTTGACTGACTTCACTTAGCATAACACCCTTAAGGTTCATCCATATTGTCACAGATAGAAGGATTTCCTTCTTTTTTATGGCTGAATAATTTTTCCATGTGGATCGATATTTATATCTGTATCTATATTTGTATCTACATGTCATTTTCTTTATCCATTCTTCTGGTAACAGATACTTAGGTGTTGCCATGTCTTGGCTATTGTAAATAATGCCGCAATGATCATGAGGGTGCAGATATCTCTTTGAAACTGAAAAAAAAAATAAAGAAAAAGAAAAAGAAAGGCTTTATACTATAAGTATGTAAAGCCGCTAACTCAATAAACTTTTGTTTTTCCTGACATGCATCACCAATGATGTATGCTTTTTATTCTTATTTCAATTTTGTTTACAGAAAACTGGGCACAAACCAGAAAGTGTGGATTTGTGTGGAGCACATATTGAATGGGCCAAGGAAAAATCAAGCCGAAAGAATGTCTTTCAGGTAAGAATGTTACATATATTGAATTTATTCCCATTACTTCTAAATGTGAGCTCTCAACATACACTTCTTTGTTGTGATGTTTTCATGTGCATGAACTAGTTGTTTGAAGGTCACTGTGAAAAACTGATTTAGCCTCCTTGTTGAATTTTAGTTCATTTTGTGGCTTTTCCTTGGTTATTGGTTGCTATCTAAATAGGAAATATATGTTTGTTTCTTGACTAATTCTACACTCAAAGTCATTGAGTGTTGCATTATATTTGATAGCTATTTGGGGTTCAAACCTAGAGTGCTTGACTTGAATAGATTTATTGCGGAACTTTCAGATATAAACTTTTTGCATTCATTTCCATTCCTGCCCCTAGTCATACATTACATTTACCAGTGTAACTTAGGGGGATGGAAAGAGCTGAAAAGCTATAGAAATTGGATATTTTTGTATTGCATAATTTAATTTTTGGGAAAAAATAACTATGATTAATAATTTCAATCATGTTCCATTGAATGAAAAGAACCAGATGAGATCCTTGAAAGAAAGGAAATGAGAAAACTGAATATTTCATATATGATGTTACTAAGATCCCTTTGGCAATTAATAACTTTAAATTATGGAGGTTTATCTTTTTCTATCTTTATGTGAGATTTAACTTACTTTTATATTTCCAAAGTAACCAATAATTTTCTAGGTATATTTTAGGATTTATATCATTTAGTAGCCAGGAACTAGATTATTATAATTACTATATTAAATGCCTCCTAAGACCATTTTGGCTCTTGGAAAAAGGTCAAGTCCATTCTTAAATGCATCAGTGAAATTAATATATTGGGTCTTATAGAAGTGTAGATGGGTGACATTTCCTATCTGAGCTCTCCCTGGGGAGAAAAGAACTGGTCTCCAGTTCTGCATTTCCCAGATGCTAATCCAGGTCTACCAAATAAACCGGACCCACATTAACATTTCTAGAATAACTTATTTTTCTGGTCCTGCTTTTATTCTATTCAGGCATTCATTTTTTATATGCTGGAGATTTATTTCTTTTTACCAAAAGAGAGAAAGAAAGAAGAAAAAAATAAAGAAAATTAAACATACTTGCCTAGAAATCAAAGGACGAAATATAGCCAAAAGTGATTAGAATCTGAATTTACAGAATCAAGAAAAGAAAAATAAATTTTGTTTTGAAGAGAGGAATTGTAAATCAGTGACATAGCCTGCCTCCCAATTTCTTACTCTTTTTTGTTATTCTGCAATAAATAAAAAAAAATTAGAGGTCATATTCCTAGCTTTTATGATAACCTGGATGATCAGTATGAATAGTTCTGAACTAGGTTGGGTGAGTTAAGTGGTGTTGTTATATTACGCATTATGAGTTTAGCATCCTTGTCCCCATGTCATAAAATAAAGACATTAAAATTGACATTGACATAATTCTTGGACAATAGAAACTCTTGGAGTTGGTCTAAGGTAGCCTTTTTCTGTTCCCTCTGTTAGTCTTTTGAAAAGTCAAGTTAGATAAAAAATGAGGAGGATAGTCAAATACATACAATGTATATAGGACTGCAGATATGGAAGAAGAATATTTATGCATAATTTTACATAGCTTTGAACATAATATACATAGATTTATATTTAAGCCACCTGCATTGATGATATGTATGATAATATATATTAATGATATGAGATTGACCTTTCCTTATATGACTGACTGCCTCCTGCTATAATTTTTCCTTGTTTTTTATATTTCTGAATATAGGTACTTCCAAAGATATTAAAAAAAAAAACCAACTATTCTCACTTTTGGTAGCTTTTTGGAGTAGCTTTGCCAGCTACTTTTGTTTGTAAGGTACCTAAGTAGTTTATGGGACATCAGTGTTCTTATATCCAGCTTAACTCTTTTTGTCTTGTACCCTTGTAGTTTAGAGAAACAGGAAAGAAGTGATTATAAGGATGCTGTGAATAACAAAGCTAAAGAAAGATTCCAATTTCATTCCTGCTTCATTCTTTTTGGGGTGAATCATGTGGTTTTCTTGTCATGCTGACATCTTTTCATTACCCAAACACATGAACTTAGGTAAAATTTACTAATACATTTCCATAGATACAGACTACAAGGGTAAACCCTTTGAGAGGAACAATATAAATAGCTTTTATAGTTCTGTTAACAAAAAAGCATAGGAAAGGATTTGCCAGAGAGCTAAATCTAGATGACTTGCATCAATATTTGATTAGATACATTAGCTGGTCTAACTCTCAAATGGTCAGAATAAACATGATTATATCTCAAAAACATGGTATTAAGGCATTGTTGAGTGTTTGAGTGTGTGTGTACAAGGGTTTCATTACCTACAGAATAATGAAGTGTTTCTTCCTGACTGAAAAAGACCATCATAGCTTCAGCTGATGTGCTACATCAGAAATAGCTTTAAAATTCCAAGTTTGAATTAGGCTTGGTGTTCAATCTCAGTCTATGAATTATAGATTACAGATAGCAAATGACTATTGAGATTTTTGGTTCAAGAAAAATCAAAGAAGAGCAAAATTAGAAATAATTTAAAATTTGAAATCTGTCTTTAAAAAGTTGATGGATTAGCAATTATACACCACATAATTACAGCGTCTGTAAAGAAGTCGAACTTAACACGAATAGGAAAACAAATAAATCATGCGCCTGGAAGACTCAGAAGCACACATCTGTGACACACACAAAGATGGAAGGATTTCATTTGTCTTGTTCCTTTGTATATGCCACTGGGGCATTTAAGGTGTTCATTTTCTTTTTGTATTAAAAGCCAAATTTCCTTCATAGTCAAAGCCTTACTAAACTCTTGATGTAGATTCAATCTTACTTGATTGGTACGTGGTAACATAACAGTGACAATATGAATTAAGTTTTTGTTTTTTGTTTTTTTATATATATATATATATATTTTTAGATTTTATTTATTTGACAGAGAGAGACACAGTGAGAGAGGAAACACAAGCAGGGCAAGTGGGAGAGGCAGAAGCAGGCTTCCCGCTGAGCAGGGAGCCCGATGCGGGACTCGATCCCAGGACCCTGGGATCATGTCCCGAGCTGAAGGCAGACGCTTAACGACTGAGCCACCCAGGCGCCCCAAGTTTTAAGGTTTGGTATTCAACAACTCTCAGTAAGTCAGAATGATGCTCGCTGACTGAGTTCCAGAACATCTGCCTGTTTTATAACAGAAAACTCTTTGGCCTAATTGGTACTTCTTAATAATAAATGATTTATTTATTGTTTAAATCATTAGGAGCTTCTATAATAAAGTACGTATAGACAAGTCCTGGTATGTGTTTCAAATGTATGATTGTGATATAATGTATGTGTGTCCGTGTATGTACCCGCGTCTAATAGCTCGCCTTAGGAAATAGAATGACCATTTCCATACGCGTACACACAAACCCAGAAAGACACGTTGTACTTATAAAAGGTCACGCAAATTCTAAGTTATATCCGTAAATGTTCATTGCTGCTAACCTTCGTTTAATTCTGCATTTAGCATAATTGTCAAGGACCATCACAAGTTTGATGTAGCTCGAGAAAGCATTTAGCAACCGAGTGATTTGTAATGAACTCTGGTACAAGTTTTCTTAGTTAACTTAAGAGCAGCGCGAGGTCTTCATCAGGGAAAGAGTGAATAAAAAGATTTATGTTCAAATCACATGTTTTAAACATTCCTGCTAAGTGCTAGTTTGCTCTTTGGTGTTTAGCCTGAAATTTAAAGCATTGAGGATTAAAAGGATTACAACATAATCTTAAATAATCCTAACTGTCATTTACAGAGAGATAGTTGTAATAACTAAATAAAACCCTGTTACAGGATGGCAGTATTTCAGGCGGTCGCTGTGACACACGGGGTGCTCCGTCCCCTTCTCTTCCGTCATGGATACAGCTGCATTTACAAAGCTTTTCAGTGGGAAGTTCAACCGAGCAAATGGCTGCAAGGGGATTTAAAACAATAAGTAAATTTTTTTTAACCATTAATATCTTCCTGTTTCCAAGTTGAAGGAACTTTTTCACTCAGGTTTCCTTCCTTCAAACAAAAGGCTCTCTCTGAGTTAAATATTTTTGAAAGTCAGGGGAAGGGAATTCATGACGCGTCTATCACATCCATAGATGCTCTATGTCAAAAACATTGACCACCTCCAAGGAGCTATCCCCTTTTAAATAGAAGATGGTCCCAGGCTGTTTAGCTTAGCACCTACACGTTCTTTACTCTTGTGTAAGTGAGTTTTTTCTCCTCACAGAGCACAACAGGAAAGAGACTATAGGGCATACTGCTTTGTATTTATTACACCAGAGGACTGGACTCCTTTCAACTCATTCAATGGTTACTGTTAAGACTAGATTGGCATTCTGGTAGCTAAAAAAAAGAATTCACTGTCGAAAGAAATCTTAAGATATTGTGTCCACAATATAGACTCTGTCCTCCAAGATGATTTCCAGAGTGTCCACTCTATTCCCTTTTGTAAATAGGGGTAAAGAATAAGAAACATCCTATCTGTTTCCTTGGTCCTTTTCATTACAACCTATATGACAGTAGAGGATTATTTATCTAAGATAATGAAATCATTTATACTCTAAAGGTTTTCTGTTTCTCACAGCAAGACAGTGAGTAGGCCTCAGTGTTCCTGAGTTTCCTTTCAAATAAAACTTAAAATTTTACCCATGAACACGCAGCAGACTCATTTATAGATTATGTGCCTTAAATAAGATAATTCTACTATTAATGAATTATGGCTGATTAGAACTATATCATTTACCTGCTTGAAAGGCAGGGGGAAAAAAAAAAGGCAGTTAAATGACTCAACACGATGAAAGTCCGTTTTCATTCCCTGGCACCAATTTATGACCTCGTCAAAAATCATGACTGCATTTTCTGGATTTGAGATTCCTTTTTTAAGTATCTGAATACATTTCAGGGGAACAGGTTCTGTCCCTAAAAGTAAAGTGAATCATTACTTGTATTACTTTTCTGACTTCGGT